GCTCAGTAACCACTGGAAAGATGTGTTAAATCATTTCTGTTCTTAATTAATTGTAATTTTACGATGACCTTCAGACCGCAGCTCTTTCGCCAGCATTGCCTCTTAATACCTCTCACACCACGGTTAATGGTATGGTTTACAACATGGAGTATACTAGGGCTTCGCAGCTGTCTCTCTCCCCCTCCTCTGTTCCGACCATGGACGAACTCGTCCGTCTGGACGGGGCCCGTAGCTATCCGTGGTATGGAAATTTGAGGGTAAGAATCCACCCATTTTTTCGCCATATAGCATTGTGATATATAACGACTTATGGTTGGTAGCTTAGCTGATTGGAGAATATAGAGTTTATTGATAACATGAAGGTAATTTATATTTTAGTTTTTATTGGTTCACTATATAGTACTGTGAATAGCTCAGATTTGTAGTCATTTCTGTGACCAGTCACTAGCAAATCACCCAGTTATTTCAATGCTAAATTCGCCTAGTTATTTCAATGCTAAATTCTCCTGTTTTGATTTGTACTAAGTGCCTCGGTGAATGTGTATGCTCTGACTTCAACGTAACTATTTCTGTAGCAGTTACAAGCGAATGCCTTAATTTAGCTATTTCAATGCTAAATTCTATGCTAATTCCTTTTAACAATGGGTGCCTCTGCGGATGTGTATGCTTTAACTTTTAACATAGCTATTTCTGTGACCAGTCACAAGCTAATCATTCAGCCTTTTCAATGCTAAATCTTATGCTAATTCCTTCGTCAAGGCTCTTTGTTCCTCTCACACAGCTTAAAAGCCGTGATCTGAACGTGGCTCTCTCACTCCAGCGCTGTCCTACGCTCCCTTCACCTGATGAAGGCCGCTTGTGTTGTGGCCGAAACGTCGTGAGAATATTATTGTGTTATTTTATTTTATCAATTTATTATTTTATTCTCATTCTACGTGACTTTACCGAAAGAACCAAAGAAGATGAATCATTGCAGTCACGAAAGCTTTAAATCGAAAAATGTTCTACTTAATTAAATATACTTTTCAATAAATGTTTTCTCATCAGATATCAGTGCAGCGCCACATTAAATACGCACTACAATGACAATAGTTTAAAGCTATTTGAAGCATGTTTTATTTGTGGGGGGGGGGGGGGGGGCAGAGCTTTGTGACGTCATATTTGAAGGGGGGTCTGACTTTTTGTGACGCCGTGTTACAAGGGGGGGGGGGAGGTCCAAAATCGTCCAAAATCGCGTGACGTCATTTATGGACGGCCCCTATTCTATTTTTTTACCAGGTTAAAGCCAACTGAGCTAGTAGTTCTCTTTCAGACGGGATCTGGCCACACGTAATAAAAGCTGATGGATGTGGCTTACATCATCACACGTGGGAATTTGTAGTCGGAGGTAAAACGTTCAACAAAACGGATGTTTGTAAATGTGGAGGGTAAAACCGGAGGAACCCAGAGAAACAAATCCACGCAACCACCACGGTGAGATAGAACATACAAACTAAGAAAATATATATACATGCAAAAAAACAATCAGCAGTTTCTGAACAACTGCATTATGGACCTCTTATTCTTGGTTCTTTCGGCAAAGTCACGTAGAAGGGAAACAATAAAATAATATAATAAAATTCTCACGACGTTTCGACTGCAACACAAGCAATCATCATCAATATTTTTTTCTTGCTGTGGTTTTCACACCTGATGAAGAAAAACATTTTTCTTGCTGTGGTTTTCACACCTGATGATGATTGCTTGTATTGCAGTCGAAACGTCGTGATAATTTTATTGTTTTATATTTTTATTATTTTATTGTTTCCCTTCTACGTGACTTTACCGAAAGAACCAAGAATATGGACCTCTTGTTTAATAACAATCAATTTGAGCAAACGCGACCGACTGACAGCACGAGTGATAGACAAACTGTGGACCGGTAGCATCTTAATTCCGACTCACCAGCACGGTGTAGTACAGTGTACAACTTTCTAGCAAAAAAGTTTTAAGGCCGGGTTATTACATTGATTTTAAATCGATGCAATGAGAATATCCTCGACACACGAGACACGTTAGTGTGGGTCGTGTCGTGTGATTGGTCAATGAACGGCAGAAAACGCACGTGGCGGGTCACGTGACGCAGCCACGGCACGTGCGACCCAACGACCACGTGGCGCGAGGCGGGTGGTTGAGTAAACGAATTATTTTGAAAGTCGCCGTTTATTATGACTGTATACAGTATACATAGAGAAGCAATGTTATAACGACCACGTCTTAGGCCGGTCGCAATTTCAGGAGTAGATTTCGGAACAACACGGCTTGAAGTACGTCGCCTGCCTTTATCGACAAGTAAGCAATGTTGTGTGGCAAGGGGTGTGACAACACATCGGTATTGATCGGATTACCAAACGGACTCCCACGCTGTATTATTATAATGCAGTAGGTGTAAGTCACCATATTTATATACAGCAGTTGTATTGGAGTGAGTCTCTCAGTCACTAATATCTGAACCGGTCCTGGGCATGCCCTAGGTCGACTCAGCCCCAAAATAAATTAGCACACCAAGTCACCCTTACAATTGAGGCTCCAACTCGGTCTCTGTTGAGTTCCCCACCTGGTTAACCAAATCAACTTTGTAGAGTATGCGACTGCTGTAAATTTCCACACGATACGCCACTTTGTCGAGCTATCATTTGCGATAGCCAGGTCGCTTCTGCAAAAGAGCTCAAGTGGAGCTTACCGAGTAAGATCGATGGTTTTCAGTTTTAACATGAACTCGCGTCCGTTTCCTTTTGTCGATGTGCCTGTGACTGACAGTGCGGAGAGTAGATTCGACCTCACCGTGGGGGGAGGCAACTCTCCAGCCACCCCTTCCCACACCATCCCCGATCTGCTTCTTGTCTGTGCCCCCAACCCAACAACACAAGAGCACGGTGTGGATTGCACCAGGCCCCCCGCAAAAAAACTGCCCCCCGGGACTGGAATTCATGTCACAGGTGAGGTGAAGGGGTTTGGAGGCAGTCACCCCCCGCCAGCGACAACGGAAGGGGGGGGAGAGGCAGAGGAGCGACGCTCACAACAACGAGCGGAGCGCCGGGTGGCTAAAAACGCAGGGAGTTGGCGCAGTGGGGAGCACAGGTGGTGCATCTTGCCAGCCATCTCAGTCAGTCAACCCATGGCACCTGGGTCTGTCCCGTTACCTGTGAGCGAGGCTTCGACACTTTGCGTGCCCTCAAAGTGTACCTAGCATGGCACAAGCGCCGTGGTTACGTCACCGCTGTTTAGTGGTGAACGGCAGGGGTTGTTGTTGTTTGTTGTTGTTGAGAGGGAAAAGTTTTGTAATTTTTGCCAAAAAAAATCTAGAATTTGGATATCAAGCAGAATTTCGGATTCATGTTGCAGATATTTGGATAGTTTATATCGCGTAATGTAACGCGGCTTCGTGCGAACAAAAGTGACGCCACCCGGTGGCGCTGCTGAAGCTGTCATACATTTTTCATAATCTTAGCTCTTTCGTTAAAGTCACGTTGAAGGGAAACAATAAAATAATAAAAAAAATATTGCCACATGATAACTTTATTAATTGGATGCGTCGGGTGATTGGAGGCTGTACGACACACATACTTAACACGGTGATCTGACCCCAAAACTCAATTATAAATTTTAATACTGATTATGATTCATTAATTCACGTGATGTGTCCGTTGTTTTGTTTTGTAGGTTGATCAGCTGCTGGTGAGCAAATTAAGAGAAAACACTGAAGGTATCTCTTTATTTGTGATATTTTTATATAGATAATTATTTCATTTTGGTTTACCGCGTTGGCTTTCGTGACCAATATCCATAATAGAGGTGTGGGGTTAGATCGTGTAAATATATAACTGTGTCGTTAAACCCGCCACCACCCGACACAGCCAATTAGTAAGGTTTGTCACGTAAACAGAACGTGGCCAATTCGTTTCAAGTACAGCACACCGGTGTGTTGGAGAGTAAACCCACGACATTTACAAGTCGAGTACATGGAGGTGAAACCCACAAATGTTGTTTATCCGTGAAAGCCTCTAAAAAATAGAAGCGAATAACTCAATGGGCCTTACTTGATAAGATAAAAAATAGTTTAAAACATTTTAATGATTTGTTTACCTTTCTTTTACTTTGCACTCCCAGCGTGTTTGTGTATTGTTGTTGTAACGTTCTGACACGCCCCTACTGGGCATCTGTGAAAAACAAGCTTTATAGCCAAATCGGATTCCTCCAGTATGAATAAATATTCAAATTCTGAGTCTCAAGACTAACTTTGAGGAGGGTCCTGCCAAGTTTTCGCAAGGAGTGGCCGACTTTCTACGCGTTTCCCAATCCAGTAAACTTTGAATATTGTTTATTTAAACTTTGGACAACGACGCTTCACAATGACCCCCACCATTCAGATATATTTAAAAATCGGAATGAGAAGTTTTATTTCCCGAGCAAAACCCATTGAACACCAATTTAGCTTTTTAGATCTCCTAGTTTATCTCCTGGCTTTCCATACACGGCGCCGCGTTGCGATCTGCCGATGGTGCGTGCCATTTTAACAAAATTGAAAAATTGTCGTGGTGATTATTACCCTCCCGGGAATGACGTCGCCGCATCTTGGACGTCCACCGTGGGTGCAGACGGCACGCATAATTTCGCGGCTGACAACCATACACACCGCAGCATTGAAACTAAACAGTTTATTTTTTTTATTTTACCAGGTAAAGCTCACTCAGCTATGTGGCTCTTTTTCACAAGCGACCTGGCCACCGCAAATGATAGGTCAACGAAGTGGCTTATCATCTTGTGGACGTTTATAGCGGCCGAGTACTCTGAACGCGTGATGTCGCTTCTAAATGTGGAGGGAAAAACCGGAGGACCCAGAGAAAAATCCACGCGACCACGGGGAGAGAGAAAGACAACGCAGACTCGAAATATACAGCAGCAGGCATCAGGCTCGGGATCGAACCCACGACCTCCTGTATACCAGGCGAGGTAGTGAACATCTCCTAGCCACCGCGGCGACAGGGGTGACCTGCCGGATTCTAAACCGCTCACCGCTAAATCCCACCCACGGGGCAGGGACGGCGAGCGAGCCGGGCACGGTGAGCTTCAAGGTGAAGAACAGCATGGGCCAGCGCGTGTTCTTCGTGACCAAGAGGCCCTACCCGGCGCTGGCGCCGATGCCCAGCAGGGCCCAGGGCGCGGCCTGCTCCTGGGAGGCGACCATGACGGACGGCGGGTCACGCGAGGTGATGCGGGTCGTGCGCAGGTTCCGCTGTGGCTGCCACCGCTGCAGCTGCAATGTGGATGACGTGAGTGAGTGAGCGCGCGTGCGTGCGTGTACTGGCAGTCTGTTTCGACGGTATCTGCGTGTGGGTCTGTTCCGTGGCCTGTCAGCGAGCCTTCGACACTTGACGCGCGCTCAAAGTGCGCGTGGCCTGGCACAGGCGCCGCTGTGACCTCACCGTCGCTTAGTGGCGAATGGCTGCTGTGTTGGTATTGTGGGGAGCGGTAGTGCAGCGGTTAGCGCTCCGCTCCGCTGTGAACCTGGCGCTATGAACCGAGTTCCATTCCCGCTCACGGCCACCGACACCAGTGACGATTCTCTGAACCGGTGCTGGGCCTCCCCTAGGACGACTCAGCCTCAAATGAGTACCTGGTGTGGTGCGTAGTAAACATTGCCACTAGTGAGATGAGTGCGGCCAGGCGTGGTGTTGCCAACACGGCCACCTCGTGCGCCGTGCCGCTAACAGCAACAGCACTCGCCTCAACAGCCTGTTTAGGCTATACAGCGAAGGGACCTTTGTGTTTTGGAGTGAATTGGAGAGCGATCGAGAGAGAGAGAGGGGGGGACGCCCATGCGGTGTGGCGATGGCTCTGCGATGTTTCTAACGCTGCCGCCGCCGCCACCACCACCATGGCAGCTGGAGGTCCACTCCCCTCCGGGCTCCATCATCGGCTACCTGCGGCAGAAGGTGACTGAGACCGAGCCGACGTTCGCCGTCACCGACCTGAGCAACAAGGCTCACCTGTGGCTCCGCGGGCCCAGCTGCGCCGTCTACTGCACCGTCAACAACGCCGTGAGCTACCAGGTGAGGGTAAAGCACAAGGCAACCCTACCAGGTGCGTCACAGGTGAGTGGCACTAGGTGCAGTTGCGGGAGCCAGGCGCGCTTTGGGCGAACGGGAATTGAAAACTACGGATTTTGCGGGAGGTAAGCTGGAATCCACTCCTGCACTCTGCGCTCAGCCACTAGCACCGCCCACTACCACACTTTTGTGTGTGGTGTGACATGGTAGCCACACCATGTTACCCCACTGGGCGATACGATGGCGAGATGTTAACTATTTCGCCTGGTGTACAGAAGATCGTGGGTTCGATCCCGACCCTGATGCCTGCTGTATATTTGGAATTTCCGTGTTTTCCCCGTGGTCGTGTGGATTTTTCTCCGGGTCCTCCGGTTTTTCCCTCCACATTTAGAAGCATGCGTTAAGAGTATTTGGCTGCTATGAATGTCCACTTCGTTGAGCTATCATTTGTGGCCAGGACGCTTCTGAAAAAGAGCTATACAGCTCAGTGGGCCTTACCTGGTAAGTTTTCAATGAACATGACAGTCACATAGTAAAGTGTGAGTAAAGTGTACGTACTCCCAGCTCCACAGTCACATAGTAAAGTGTAAGTACTCCCAGCTCTACCAAGACGTCTGGCCGCTGTGGAAGAGGAGTGAGCAATTGCAGGGCTGCGTCTTTACCTGTAATCTCTTGTAATCTATTTAATACAAAAACGTAAATGAGGCCCCTAAATGAGGCCCCTATCCAACCCGCACCTCCGATTAGCGAGGTCAGCTATGTACGGTGCGAAAGAAGTTCAAGATATTAACCTTATGGCGGGAGCCTGGGGTCCCGAATAAACGGAAGTCAAAATCGTAATAAATTAATGTATTTTTGGCGACTCCGTCCAACCGCGCACATAAACGCCGCGACCCACCCGGCGCGGATCATTCTGTTGTCGTGTCGTCCTCGCTACGCTTGGACGACACGCCCAGAAGAAACAAAACTTTCAAACTTTAATTAGCGCATCGTGTAGAGCTCGTCGAGAGGAATATACTCTCGTATCGTTCGCCTTCAACAGACGTAAAATGACGTCGCAACGCGGCTCTCGCGAGAGCCGGGGGCTCATGGGAGCCCAGGGTCCCTCCATAAGGTTCACACATGACCAGTCACAAGCTAATCCCTCAGCCATTTCAATGCTAAATTACTAGTTGCCTCTGTGGATGTGTAGGTTTTGACTTTAACATAGCCATTTCTGTGACCAGTCACACGCTAATCCCTCAGCCATTTGCACAAGCTAATCCCTTAGCTATTTCAATGCTAAATTACTAGTTGCCTCTGTGGATGTGTAGGTTTTGGCTTTAACGTAGCCATTTCTGTGACCAGTCACACGCTAATCCCTCAGCCATTTGCACAAGCTAATCCCTTAGCTATTTCAATGCTAAATTACTAGTTGCCTCTGTGGATGTGTAGGTTTTGACTTAAACATAGCCATTCCCGTGACCAGTCACAAGCTAATCCCTCAGCTATTTGCACAAGCTAATCCCTCAGCTATTTCAATGCTAAATTACTAGTTGCCTCTGTGGATGTGTAGGTTTTGACTTTAACATAGCCATTCCCGTGACCAGTCACAAGCTAATCCCTCAGCTATTCGATATGTAAACCCCTTTGTCAAGGTGCCTCACTTCTCCCAACCAGCTTAAAAGTCGCTACGAATCTTAACATCGTTCATTGAAGCTCTGTCGTCCCGACAGGTGTGTTGCTTTCACCTGAAGACGGCCGCTTGCGTTGTGGCCGAAACGTCGTGAGAATTTTATTGTTATCTTATTATTTTATTCTCATCCTACGTGACCTTACCGAAAGAACCAAAGAAGATACGTACAAAGACTCACACAGAGACCCATCGTTTGTTGTCCTTTCCCGGCACCTCCGACCAGCACGGTTCGCTACGCACGGTGTGAAAAGAAGTCCCATAGCACGTACAAACCCCAGCCCTGCCGACAGTGTGCCCGCGCAGGAGCAATCGCCCGCGCTCCCGTCGCAACGCTCCGAACGTTTTTTTTTTGTTTTTGTCGCCAGATCTTGAGCAAGGACGAGAGGAATCAGGTCGGCGCCGTCGTCAAGCAGTGGATGAAGGAGGCAGCCGCGGAGGGCGCCGGCGGCGGTGGTAGCAGCAAGGGAGGGAAGACCTTCATCCAGTTCCCCATGGACCTGGCACCCAAGCTGAAGGCGACGCTGCTCGCCAGCTGTTTCCTCATCGTGAGTCTCTCCGCGTAACCCCGGGGGCAACGCCGAAGCCGCGCAGCTCCGACCCGCAGGGCCCACACCGGAGCGGCGCGTTTACTTTGTTGCTGTTGACAACTGCAGTGTTTGGACTATTTTAAAACGAGCAATACGCTGTATATCCTCTCTGGCAATAAAACAGGTGTTCAGACACCAAATAGATGCCTTTCGCAAGGAATCAACGACTGCGTTAACACCACGTGCTTGCTCTCTGGTTCTTTCGGTAAAGTCACGTAGATGGAAAAAAATTACAAAAGAGAGGCACGACGTTTCGGTCGCAACACAAGCGTCCGTCTTCAGGTGAGAAAATGATCTGCTGTTGTGGCTTTATATGGGCACGGGAGGGGGGGGAGGAAAGGGGGGGAGGAGTTTTTTTTGAGTCGTGACTGCAGAAGTTCACGGGGGAGAGGTGGGGTAGGGTTTGTGGCGTGCCAGGGACGGGTGGTGAACATGCAAACGAACACGCTCTGGTAATCTGTGCATTGTCTCTGAAACTGATTGGCCTACACCAGAAGGCTGTCTCTGGTGTGGAAGAGCAGAAGGCCGTCCCGAGGGAGCTCGTGCCTTCGTCAGAATTCCGAATCGGAACCTTGATGGATCCTGGAAGAATCCTTTGAGAGCTCTTTTTCACACGTGTCTATTCAGAAAGTTACAACAAACAATACAAACAAACGATAGGAGTGCCGAGCATAGGAAAGGAAAGGAAGTCACTAAAAATAAATGCATAAAATAGATACAGTTCCACCTCCTTCGTGTCTCCATTGTCGCTGGGTTTATCCTGGACGAATCCGATGAGCTGTGAAGCTCTTTTTCACACGCGTCCGGTAGGGGGCGGGTCAGCAAGTTTCAAGCGGGGGGGGGGGGGGGGGGGGGGTTAGCAGGGCCTGTCATGGCGCCGGGCTTAACCTCGCCGTAGGCCTCCTGCGACGACGTGGCGAGATGTGGACCAGTTCGGTCAGGGCAACGGGGGCCTCTAGGTTTCTGATGATGATTGATGACGATGATTGATGATGATGATGACTGATGATTGATGACGATGATTGATGATTGATGATGATGACGACTGATGATTGATAATGATTGATGACGATTTGATGATGATGATAATTGATGACGATTATAATGATTGATGATGTTGATGATGACGATTGACGATGATGATTGATGATCGTGCTGCTTGATGGCGTGTGTGGTCGGTGTCTCCACCTGCAGGACCACGTGTACACCAGAGATGATGATGATTGATGATGATCATGATGATCATGATGGATGGTGATGATGGTGCTGGTACTTCACCCCGTGTGTGGTCGGTGTCTAGACCTGCAGGACCACGTGTACACCAAAGATGATGATGATGATTGATGATGATCATGATTTAGATTTTTGGTGATGGTGCTGCTACTTCACCCCGTGTGTGGTCGGTGTCTCCACCTGCAGGACCACGTGTACACCAAAGATGATGATTGATGATGATCATGATTGATGAGGGATGGTGATGATGGTGCTGCTACTTCACCCCGTGTGTCTCCACCTGCAGGACCACGTGTACACCAAAGATGATGATGATTGATGATGATCATGATTGATGAGGTATGGTGATGATGGTGCTGGTACTTCACCCCGTGTGTCTCCACCTGCAGGACCACGTGTACACCAAAGATGATGATGATGATGATCATCATGATGATCATGATTGATGAGGTATGGTGATGATGGTGCTGGTACTTCACCCCGTGTGTCTCCACCTGCAGGACCACGTGTACACCAAAGGGCAGCGCAGGGGGGGCGACGGCATCGACGCAGCACGCCCGCCCGAGACGCGGTCGCTCTGCAGCTGGCGCTGAACAGGGCAGACCCCTGCAGAGAAACCGGCGAGCGTGGCCAGTCGACATCATCGTCAACATCATCGTCAACATCATCGTCGTTGACATCGCCAACATCATCGTCAACATCATCGTCAACATTATCGTCAACACTTCCACGTTATAAACCGCAGCGCGTAGCCCGTCAACATCGTCAACATCGTCAACGCCTCGACGTTAGATGTTCACGCCACGTGCAACTCACACGTTTAAAATTTGATCCAAGCTGAACCACCCAATTGCCCCGGAAGGCCCCACAGCAACACACCGGCGAGTTTGTGCTCCTGGACATCGCAGCGCGCGCCGTTTTGAGCTCAGTGAAAGTGCATGAAAGCATTGGTTTGTTTATTAGATAAAAGGTTGAAAGCCCGAAACTTAGCGTTCTTGTTTTCCTGGTTGAGACCCCGATGTTATGAAGGTGGCTGGGACATTGCTCGCGGCTACCGTGCTGGGATGTTCAAAACCCGTGCGTCAATTACAAATAAATATAACTATCCCGTGCAGTTCCCCGCACTCTCCAGCAGATGTGAGCATAACGTCAGACAAACAGCGTCTCCCCCCGTGTGTCTCGCTGTGCTGAATGAGGCCGAGGTGGTTTCAGGGGACGGTGTGATGCCTCATGCGCAGCCCCGCCAGCCCCAACCGCGCCACGGCCCTCTCGGGAGAGCGCGGGCATTGATTCAGCGCAAAGCGGAACGCCGGATCGCTTTCGGCAACCACGGTGGCTCATCAGCAGAAGCAGGCCCCCCGGAGCCAACACCCTGGCCACAACAATAATAAAATCACAAGTTTCAACTCGCAGCACTGCCCCACCGTCGCCACAGCAGTGCTGTTCGATCGCTCTCGTAGAGATAAAAGAGGATGACGAGTTGCAGGTGCGAGGAGGAGCCGCAGCCGAGCGGGAAGGCAGCAGAACGCGCCACCAAGCTCTGCGGCCCTCGATATATCAAGGTGTTATCGGCCAAATAACGAGCGTTTAGACGGTAAAACGCCGGTAAATAACGCCCTTTGGATGTGACGCTCCCTCCAGCCAGCCAAACTTCATTTTTCTTCTAATGTCGTGTGGCAATAAGTCCGATTTACAAGGCGCACAGGGTTCCTGTGAGCGAATTGCTCACCCGAGGCCGAGGGGGCCATGAGGCAAGGCCCCCCCCCCCGCTCCTTGTCTCGGTAATGGGTTGGGGGAGGCATTCGCGGTGCTGAGTCCACGCGAAGGCAGAGGAGGAAAGCGCAAACAAATGACGAAATGTGCAGTGGGCACCCAGGGGCTCTCTGCCCGTGGGTCGTGATGGTGATGGTGATGATGAGGCCGTGCGGGTTTCAGCGAGGAGGCGGCAGGGGAGGGGAATGAATTCCGCGCGGTACAATCGCTCGCGCCGTGGGACTTGGACGTACCACTTGGAGCCCACATTGATCCCTGCGAACGGCCTCACGTCGGCCCAAGCTCGGAGGTTCATTGAGTGGCAATACATGACATGTACGTTCGAAGGCAGTGTTCTTCACTCATGTGCAACGGGGGGGGGGGGGGGGGGGGGCGGGGAACTTTCGCCGATAAGACATCAGTGTGCGAGGGCCGCCACATCATTTGAAACCATCGGGGGGTTGACAGCAGCATGGTGATGATGATGATGGGGGGGGTGTTTGTCACGTGTCGTTGTGTATTGTCGGGCGGCCGCACTAAAGGGCCCACCAGGGGCCACCAGGGGCCCGCGGGCCTTGCAATGAAGAACGCCGATGCAAGGAAAGCTTCGCAGACTGTTGGGGCGAGTGCTGTAAGCGAGCAGCACCTATGAAGGCCGGCACGGCACACGAAGGGGGTGGGTGGCCAACACCACGCCCGGCCGCCTTTGTCTCCCCAGTGGCGATGTTTACACATCGCACCGGGTACTCATTTGAGGCCCAGAACCGGTTCAGATAATCGTCACCGTAGCGCTAACCACTGCACCACCGCTCCCCACACGGACACACACGGACGGACAAACACGGCTCCCCAATGAGCTTCATTCCCTAGGAGAACAGCAGTTGGGCCTCGGCTGGCTGCAGGATGAATGTCACGGCCAGGGGGCACAGAATTCCAGAACACATTTCCAATCCGAGTCCGTGCCCCCTACCTACCTGCCCACCACCCCACTCCACCACAATCCACCGTGGATAAATCAATACGAACTCCCCCACAATCGGCGAGATCGTGGTGATTGTTGAACGCAGGTCCCGTCGCTGCCGCCGCTTGCGCGTGTGCGCGTCGCTAACAGCACTTGCCCCTACAGCCTGTTAAGGCTATATGGGGGATCTTTGTCTTTTGTGTGTGCCCTCGCAGCTCAGGGTCTGTTTTTGTCCGTGTGATTGGGGGGGGGGGGCATCTCTTTGCGTTTTTGACTGTTTCACCACTCGCCACCCACAACCCAGTGATGCCAAACGCCCCGTCGTTATTCAGTGCCGCTGATTTTGTAAATCCCGGTCGAGGTTAAAACGAACCGCACGACTTTAAAAATGTCAGTGCGCGACTCGCCAAGCAAAGTCCCGGGAGTGATGTCCTGCTCTTGTTTGCAAGCGCTGTGGAAATTCCACATTCCTTTGGCGGGCGGGGGGGTGGGTGGGCGAGTCTACACATTGGGCAACCACTGTTCACTTGCCCCGGGGGGGGGGGGGCATGATAACGCTGAGTTCAAGCCCCCACAACTTGAATTCGAACTCGTAACCTTCTGACTGTGAACCGCTCAAATGCCGAGGCGTCTTATAATTATTGAACGCGTGGTCAATTTGGTGACTAGGCTCATGACCATCAACTTACCGCATCTGAAAACCCCGTGTATTCACGTTCGCGTGGAACCCGGAATTGAACCGGGGATTTTTTGTTTTGGTGCCGGCTCACCTCTGGGACCCATTGAGCCACAACACGCTGGCTGCTGTCCAAACAGCCAGCGCGGGGAGTTTCAAGATTGATGTTCACTTCGATTAAACAAAAAGCACATGTGTAGAAATCAAATGTACTGAGAACCTTTGACTGATAAATGTGTTGTTGACAATTCCACGGGGATGAACCGCTTACACGGCTCTGAATGATAACATATCTTCTCAAGCGTTATATTGCCGTATTCCCTCGACCACAAGACGCACTTATTACCCCCCCCCCCCCCCCCGGTGCTTCAAATCAACAGTCTGGAGTTCGTCTGGCAATCCAGTGGATGTACATGAGTGCGTGCGCGTGTCCGCGTGACCAGATGTCTATCGGTGTATTGGCGACCGGCCACGAGTCACTTTCCGGAGCGTCTTTTAAACAAGAAGTAATATTATTGAAACAAAAACTTTAAAAAACGCTTTTAAGAAATGTACCGGACTAGTAATGGAAGAACTCCACGACTCCAGGAAGTGGCCCCGAAGCTTGCCACAACGTAAGGGGGCCGTGGCCAATTACAGCCAACGTCAGTTGACAATTAGACCCAAGCCAAAACATAACATATTTTAAAAATATATATAGATTTTTGTTTTATGATAGAATATAGTATTGTCATCAGTATGACATAAGTATACCAAGTTTGCAGTCGATAGCACATTGGGAAGTGGGTACAAATTGAGTTACAAGATTTGAGGATACAACAACAGACAGAGTGAGTTTATAAAAAAACGTGTACTGTAATAATAAAAATAACGTCGCTCAGCTGGTCTGGGAACGCCTGAGAATTCCCCGTGAAGAGCTCGAGTGTGTTTATAGTAGTGTATAGTGTAGTGTAAGTGTATTGTAGTGTATAGGGCCACGGTTCTTGACGAATGTGTTAAAAAAAAGTTTGCTACGTGTGACGTTGTGACACGGCTCGGCTCGGGTTCTGCAGTGTAAATAAAACCAACCAGGCCACGTGGGCCCCGGCACGGCTCAGTTGTGCAGTGGCAAAGAGACGGACAAAGTGGCAGCCCGCGCTCCTGCGAGAGAAGTTCTCAGTCCCCAGTGCAGGCCCAGCTGGATCCAGTTCCAGGGATTTCCCCCCCCAACCCACCCAGCGTGGTACAGCGATCCGTTACATCGCCGTATTTCTGATTCGAGGGACTGCGTTTTAGTTGCACCACGTGTCACATTACGGCTGGGTTTTTAATTTTAGACCCATAATTTTGCGCGTTTCCCTTCTCCCCAGGAAGAAAATAGCTTTTGGCTTGGCGCTTGACCTCAGAGATTTGCTCAACGATGGTCCACAATTTCTCGTCAAGTGGAGATACGGTTTTTAAAAATATTTTTTAAAGGAAACTGTAAAGTACAAAAATGTTGGCACGCATTGTACACATACACACACATTTAAAGATTATTGACACGCACGTAAAATATATATATACGGTATTGAGAGCGACACAACATCAGTACACCCGCCCTTTCAACGACAGAACTCACGAATCTTGATTACGTATGCGGACAATCTCCTTGAATGATTTGGCCAATACCAGGAATAAGTGGCCACACACTTAGTATACCATGCAAACTTGCACTAGTCTGGTATCAGCACATATTCTGGAGTTCAATCTCTATATACAGTGAGGGGAAAAAGTATTTGATCCCCTGCTGATTTTGTACGTTTGCCCACTGACAGAGAAATGATCAGTCTATAATTTTAATGGTAGGTTTATTTGAACAGTGAGAGACAGAATAACAACAAAAAAATCCAGAAAAACGCATGTCAAAAATGTTCTAAATTGATTGGCATTTTAATGAGGGAAATAAGTATTTGACGTCACATCTGTCATGTCACCCGCGCATGCGTAGTGCCCGGCGAACCGAGTTCGATTCCCGCTCACGGCCACCACCGGTGACGATGTATTGAACCGATCCTGGGCCTCCTCTAGGTCAACTCAGCCTCAAACGAGTAACTGCTGTGGTGTGTGAACATCGCCACTTGGGAGACAAAGGCGGCCGGGCGTGGTGAATCCAAGTCCCGGGCGAAGCCGGGTAGTAAAGCTAGTACAGGATTTAACAAACCCACATTTGTGTTAGTAATAGGTTTTTACCCTTTTAGCTGGCACAAAAAACTGACACCTTTATACAAGGGATCATGTTTGCAATAACCACAACACAAGCAGTCAAAAATGCAAACAAAAAGAAACAACTCTGATAATGATATGCACTGTCCTTGAATTTGATTGGTCCACACCCGAGACGGCTTTTCACATTTGTGTTGTAATACAAAAAAATATGTACAATGGAAATGCCAATCATATCATCAGGAAAGTCTCACTGAGTCTCAAGACACTTTCTTTCGGGGCAAGATGCTGCAGTGTCGATGATGTTTGGCCAATTCGCACCTCCGATTATCACGGTTGACTACGTACGGTGCGAAAGAAGTTAAAAATAAACAAGTGCAATACCGTGATTGAGCAGCTGACGCTCATCCACCGCATACATCGTTTCAAATTTGTACGCTTCCTTACCAGCATGGCGCTGTGTGGGTTTAGGGCAGTGTTCTCTTCATTGCAAGGTCCGTGGGCCACTGGCCTGCACCCTGGTGGCCTTTAGTGCAGCCGCCGACAATACACAACACGTGGCAACAACCCAAATCGTCCGCGTGTTGTCAGACCCCAACGGTTTCAAATGCGTGGCGGTCCTCACGCTGACGATGCCTTGTCGGAGAAAGTGGCCCACCCTCTGAAAGTGTGTGAAGGACAACTCCTTTAGCGTGTTGACACGAGAGCGGCTCTGTGGTTTCTAAAGTACCTTTACCATGGGCTTTTTCAAGAGGTTAATCTATCAGATAGTGGGCAGGTGGCTCAGCACCCCAGAGGGGAGACTCTGCCGGTTACAGAGACGCATCCTGGGGTTTTGAATCCAGATTTCGGCCACCTCGTGGATTGAACCAGGTTCTCAAGCTTAGCGAGATCGCGATCCATTTGCAGATAGCCCCAACCGATAGCTCCATGACCCCTTTAATTGCATATCAGTGGCCTCGGTGTACGCACACCATCGAAAGTCGCGAGGCAATCTCGCCGGGCTCTGCTGGACAAAGTGTCATCGGGAGAGTGTTTGGCGCTCAAATAAGTGTGTTGAGATTAGTGGTGGTGGTGGTGGGGGGAGAGGAAGGACACGTGGTGGATCGAGGCTTTGAATTAAAACCTACAGGAGTTTTCTCGACGATGTTTCCCTCTTGTTTCAGTGGGGTATCTTCAAATGGATCTGCCTGGATAGTAAGTTTCTCGTTTAACAGCGGTAGATGCGTTCCGAAAAAGTTAAGTGGGGGGGGAAAGTCCCCACGAAATAACGTAACGATGAAGTTAAGCGAGACACGGTGAACTTCTACGCACACGCAGTTAGATGGCAGGACAAATAACTGCGGGTTACCGGCGTCGCGTAGCTGTGTCATTGCGCCTACTGAATCACTGTACAGCTCAGCCGGTCAGCTCAAGAAAGTAGGTCGTCGTCGACCGGTTCAGAAACCGCGTTATAGCGGGGCACGTACTACGTTATAGCGGGAAGCGTACTACGTTATAGCGGGGAGCG